AAAATAATGCGTAAAAAAGGCATTAGCGAAAAAGAGAAAACGAGCCATTGGGTTAAAACTCCCCGAACAGTAAAACGAATAGAAAAGAAATTAGGCCAAAACTACTATTATTTGGAGAATGATAGTTGGGGTTCTTTACGACACGAATTATTAAAGGTCTAAAACACCTGCCAAAAACGGCAAGCTGAACAACAGTTGTATGAATAAGTTAGATGATGTTGTTGTTGCTTTTGTGCTCTGTTTGTTATCTGATATGTTTCACTATGTCGATTCGTCTATAGTCCGAATTCTTTGCATCCTGACATCCCAAATTCTTGCTACCCCTTGTCTGTAATTACCTTAGAACTTGCTTAATTTTTTGGTATACCGGCACAGCTGAGTGTATTTAGGCATTTGCCTCACTGCAAGTCAAGCCCCAAGAATAAAGGCGTTGCGTGCACCCAACACATAAACCCCGAACATCCCAAACCTTCAACCGACACAGGCCCATCCATCCCTGATCCCACTGTCAGCCTTAGCGTCTCAGTAGTAAGTCAGAAGAGCCCGCAACTATGCACCGCACCTCAATGATAACAAGAGTGGACCGGCTCACGAAAACCCAAAAGCCCGAAGCCCTACTCCACAACCACGAAAACCCAAGCGTCAAGGATGCAATGCATCCTTGCAGTCGTTGAACCAGCTGCTGAGCCTGTCATGAGAGCAGATCGCATGAGTTAAAATAGTGATGCATCAGGTTTGCGCATCAAAGCTCAAAGCCAGCAGGCTAGTTCTGCACAGGTTTGTTTCCACATGGCGAGTTTGGCGCTCACACCAGCGCTTCGATCATTACCATGCGTCTGTTGCGATGGGCAATCAGGCTACGGCTTAAAGAGGAAGAAAGAACCTGCTGCCCCCACAGAGATCAATGCAGAAGCTATCACCACATCCAACTTATCCTCAAACTTGCCGAGCTTTGTCTTGACGTCGTCCACTTGCTTGCCGAGGGCTTGAAACTGTAAGTCGTTCTTGTCATTGAAGCGGCCGAAGAACGACTGCACCAGGGTGCTTCCAACGATCGAGAGGAAAGACACACCTGCCGTGTAGACGGCGGTTTCCACGTTGAAGGCAGGAAAGCCCGTTGGGGGTGATGTTGGCGGTCGCGTCGCTTCTTGTGCCATTGCCTGGTCTGCAATGAATGCAGGCAGCACCACCATGACCTTGACGACCTCCCCTGCCACCGGCCGCGGGACGAACGACGCTGTCCATCCACCCATGGCGAGAAAGCACAGGGCTACCCGCAGCCGCGTTCGCTTCTGCATTCTGTCCAGCGCAATGCAGTTTTACATCGCCTGCCCAGCTTCAGCCTCAAACAGCTGCTCACGTTTGCTTCGAGAAAAGCTTCTGCAACCACGACTGCTTTGCTCACAGCTTCAAAACACCAAAGCAGAAGCAACTGGACTGAAAGCATATTGCAACTTGCAAACCAAACAAGCAGGGCGCGCTTCTTCGGCGAAGGGGTAGGAGAATTTGACGAAGCGCTCGGTGTAGCAGTTCCCAGTTCAGGGCTATAATCTTTTGGGTTTTTCTATTAGGGTCTTACCCCACACCTCATGTTAGGATAT